TTAGCGCGCATAGGCAAGAACCCTCTGACACATTAGACTGGACATGAGATAGTAAACAAATAAAATTATATAAGTATGTATAAGTATGTCAAAAATGTACATAAAATAAACAAAATGATGAATTAGCTTTAAAAAAAAAAATAATAAAAGAGAAAATAAATTAAATAACTACAAAAACAAGATAATTAGTAAATATTTTTTTATAAATTTGTTTTAAATAAACATCCAAATTTACATAATAAAATAAAAAAAGGAATTGTAATCTATGTACAAAAACGTATATTTATAAATATATATTTTTTTTATTTATTTTTTAATCCCCTCTATCCTAGAGGAGATTACAAATTTAAAAAGTTTCATTGGCGGTAAATTTTTTTTTATACTCTATTGTAGTATTGAGTTTCTATAAAGTATCGGAATAGAGTGGCCACTCCGTCCTCATTGTCTCCCAATATTTCTTTTATTGTCACTGGTAATTTCAGTTTTGTCGAATTTGTTTGAACTCATGCCACTCTACTAATAGGTGTTTTACTGATTGTAGTTTATTGTCACACTTTAGGCAAGTGGGTGCTTCTAATCCTCTAAGAAGCTACCCGTGAGTAAACAGGCAGTGACCAATTCGTATTCGACACAATATGATTTCCTCTCTTCTTGAGTTTCTTGAGCTTGTAGCCCATTTGTTGTACTCTGTTTTTATTTCTTGTAGTTTTGACTGTTTAGTTTTCTATTTGTTTCCCATCATTCAACAACTTCTTTTTTTGTCTACTCAATCCAGTCTTCTGCTGTTCATTGAAATTAAGGTTGGTGAATCTCCCTTCCTTGCTAAATTAGCTGCTTGGTCTGCTCTTTCATTGCCTAAGATACCACTATGAGAAACCACTTATTACCTCATAAATCGAAGATATTAGGTCTTTTTATAATTAATGGATAAAGGGACAATGTTCCAGGATGGTCCTGCAACCAATCAAGTGTTAATGTATAGTCAAGCCAAGGTTAATATAAGAGTTATAAATAATTATCTATCACAGCCGGACATATTATATTAATTATTGAAGAATACTCCTATTGATAAATAAGAATTACACTAGTAACCAATATTTTACTGTCCTTAATAGTTATGGTTTATTAAACATATAGTAAAGATTTTCCTCCAAGAATTCTAACAATGTTTCCGTTTGAAAGTTTCCGTACAAAATTGTTTTTAGAATTTCATAATAACTTCATAAGAAATGTATTTTTCATATTATTTTCATAATTGTTTATGATTGATTGTATCGTGATTCTAGCGAATGGACAAAATGTATTTAAAAAATGTTTAAGTTCCTCACATTAATTTTCTGTAGACAAAGATTGTTGACATCACATAATCTTTAGCTACTTCTGTTGATTCAGGTATTAATATATGTTGTCTTTATTAGTGATGTAGAGCAAAGTACACTGTTATCAAAGAATAGATTATATCCCAAACCCAGTATGTTTCATTATTATTTTTCATTTGCTGGTTTGAAAAAAATCTTTAAAATGATTATGAAGAGCTTTTTGAAAAATAATAATTAAATAAATTATAGAAGGAAGTTAGTTGACTATTCTACATATCATGGGTGATGAATATTCAGGACACAATCAATATAAAGTTTTTATTAGTGCCGACATTTCAACCCAAACATCTGGGTCATCATCAGGGCGTGGTTAGAGAGATTGACCCACAAGATATGTCAGTACTTAAATACCTTCAGTGCTTAAACCACACCCTGATGATGACCCACATGTTTGGGTAGAAACGTCTGCACCAATAAAAACTTTATAATGACTGCGCCCTGAATATTTATCACCCATGATAATTAAATAAAGATAAACGATAAAGATACGGATTTTAGGAACTTCTTAAATTTTCTAAAAAAATAGGGAATCTTCAAATAAATTTCATGAGATGCCACAATTGATTCAGACTTTCTAAGCAAGTATCATGAAAAAATAAGTCACAGTTACTGGAGTAAATTCTCTTCTTAAATCCACTTCGGAATTCCCTGTCTTCCCGAATCCTAATCAACCCAATAACTGCTACTTATTAAAACCTATAAAAGAAACTCAGATTTATTTTAGACCATAAATCTCTCTCCTTAAAGGACGAAATTTCTTTAACAACATTTTGATGATCCTAAGGCAAGTAACCAATTCTGTAAATTTGACTTTTACTGCAGGGATTTTTTTTTTTTGTTAGTGCTGACATTTTTCACTTATATGGTTGTGCGATTCATTAGAGCAACTCTGTTGTTTGTCTTGATGCTGAAATAAAAAAACATATCAATTTACCCACCCTATTTATCTTCACCATCCCAAATCACAGAACCATCTCTCTTCCCTATGTTATATCAAATTGAATTGGCTCTTCTTTAATCATAACCAAAAGTATTCTCTGGTACATCTTTATTCAACAATTCATCCTGAGTATATTTTTGTACTCCTTCAATTTAAATAAATGATCAACACCATCATTATCCATTAAAAAAAGACTGTTTGTTTTTTTAATTTACTTATTTTATAAGATGAAAAAAAATCTTTCCATTTCTACATTGGCAAGTTTTAGGAGTTTTTCATTCCTAATGCCATTTTTGACATATGGGGAGGGGAAGTGAGTTGTTCTATAGGATTAACCAAACTTATTCTACCCAGAGTGGGAAAGTCGATATTAATTCAGTCGATTTGCCACAGAATAAATTTCAACCTAAATTTTAGGGATATAACTAAGTTGTTTCAGACCAGCATTCATTATCCAAGCAATTTGGCTTGTAATTTTCTTCTCTATTTATATTCATTTCCTTACCCCTTCCTTTATATTTTAATTATCTACTAATTTTCTGTCTTCTTTATTACTCTTTACACCATTAATCATATTATCTTCTTTTCATTTTTAACTTTCTAATATAGTATAATTTATGTTAAATGTAATTAAAATAACTTTATTTCTATTAACTTATTGATAATTTTAGCTAGATTAAATGCTAATCTGACTTGAAATCTGTTAGTCCGAAAAAATAGTGCGTGTATTATATATGGTATGCATTTCATAACTACCAATATATTAAGCTAGTTTAACTGTCAGCCATCAATATAAGGCCAGTGTAATAATCTGCTGTGAATCATATTAATAGGTATCAATACATTTTATCGAGTATGTTATTATAAAAAAATTATAAAATTATGAAGAAATTGTTCATAGAAGTCAAGGAAAATTAACTTTTTTTATGACATATTATATAAAATTAATCAACTTTCACTGCTCAATAAAATGAAAATTTCATAAAAATGAGAAATATAGTTACAAGTATCAAATTGTTTAAAAATTCTTCAATTATTATTTAAATTTATAATTCCAGCATTAGTTTTGATGAACTAAAATTGTGTTATAAATTAAACATTGAGAACTTTTAAAGTTCCTATTTTAAAAGGATATACATTTATTGATATTTTTTTCTGATTTTCTTATTGGAAGGATTTTGTTTTAGCTTCTGGCATAATATCTATATTTTAAAATCTATTATCAAACAAAATTAAATCAATGGAATGAAACAGTCCAATCACCTAAGACTACCAGCTCCTGAAAACTCAAAACAATTCGGAATAAATGCTGACTTCTTATTTGACCCAGATTCACTTTTGCTTGTTCATGAGTGAGGAAAGGAGAATATTTTCATAATATTTTACTTACCCTAAAATATTGGTTATACCAACATAGGAGAGGAAACAATTATGAAATATGATCAAATCTAGATACATAACAACACATTATTTTATTCATGTTTTCAGCACTATTGTTTACATACAAATTAAAATTAAATTAAACAAGTTGGCATTTATGATAAATTCATTATTAGCATTTAATAAATACTATATAACAAAGAAATATTAAATTACATAAATAAATTCATAAAATATCATCAGTTTATTGCAAAACGACAGTAAGTACATTTTTAAGGTAGATTAACTATCAAATATGTTTTTGTTAATTTTGACTTTATTTATCAATAAAAAAAATCAATAAGCACATTAAAATTGCACAAACTCTTTTATGTATAGTGCAAACTATTCTGATTTCACAAAGAGAAAAATCATCAACGTTCTTAATGAGTTTAGGTTATGAAATGTCATTTAAAGAATTTTTGCAATAAACTGATGGTTATAAACTGAAACGGGAACCTAAAGAGAGGATGTTTTAAAGAAAGTAATCAATAAAAGTAATCAATCTAGTTGTGCCATAAGAAGAAAAAGGTCTCAAATCGTTTAAGAGAGAGCGTTACTGAGTTTTGTGAAAATAAAATTTGTATTTACTTTGTAATTCAATGATTTCGTTTGTGGACACTGAACCATGATCTGAAAAAGTCTGAATTTTCATATTTAAGCTATTTAGGCTAAGTGTGTAACATTATGAAAAGATTATATTACATCCGATTTTCCAATGCAGAAAAGGAAACAATTGTGATTTTTAGCTTACAGATAAGTTTAATTAATCAAAACTATCATGGGTTAATTGAATGGAATAGCTTAATTACACGATAATATGGATTCTTGCTCAATGTTTGACATTTGTTAGTTTCTCCTAATAGGGTATAAAGTTAATTAAGGTCATAATTTTAATTATTAGCCACCATTGCCATAAGAGCTAAAGTATAATTTTCCAGTCAAATTATTTATCCTGGTTAAAAATAAATTTTAGGGAAATAAATAACTTTGTTTCATACTTGATATAGACAAAGTAAAAAACTGTATTATTCAACCTATAATGGAAGGCTTTGATGAAGATCCAGATAAATATAAATTTTTCAAAAAACAGTTTAGTGTATTTTTACTGGTGGGCAGTGTTGCTGGTTTAATTGACGAAATAACTAGGCATAATGTAACCTGAAACTATCTCCTGTGCAGTTAATAATGTGAGAGAGGCTATACCATCAAGCAACAGAAAATCTGTTACATATTGTTGTGAAAACTAGGTACGTTAATATTTACTTTTGTTTTTTAAACAAATGTAAATGAGAGATAAAACGAGGTTAGTTCTAGATTTGCTGATTTATTAAAAGCTTAATGGTAAAATTATCTGGTGTCATTTTAATTTTAAATTTTGTTTAACCTAAAATTAGTGAATTTGGATGTGCTCTTACATCAATGCCTTCAATTTTAATAATTATAACTCAGCAATATTTTATATTTAACTTAGTAAAATAGTTCATAAAGTAATAATAAGTGGTTATGAAATTTATGAAACATCTAGACATGCCTCATTTCTTCCTGGCAATTCTGCGGCATTTCCTTTTGGACTTAAAATCGATTATATTTTTAGTGCACTGGATTCTCTTCTTTAATTTAGATTTCCTTAGTTTTTTGTTGGTATATCTTTTTCTGGTCAACCCTATTTGAAAGAAAAGAAAAAATAAATAATGTTCAATGTAATAATAAGTTTTCTGATTCCTTATAAAATGAGACATTATTTCGCATAGTGATTCTCTGTTAAAACTTAAAGATTGAATATTTCATTAGTATTTTGTATAGCAGTTGTTTAATTAATAATGCTTTAATTTTCTCATTATACTGTAATATATGATACAATCGAGCACATTTTTTTTTGTTGTTTTTCTTCATAAAAATTCTGATTGACTTCTACTTAAATTTTTTTTCTTAATTAATCCTAAAACTTGAAAATATTTTGTGAATTTATAAAAACATTTTGTATCTTAATAAAGTTGAAAATTGTTCTGAATCAATACCCATGTTTATTGTAAATTTTTCAATCAAAAAGGGGCAAGTTTTCAAACAATACATGATTAAATCCTGCCCAAGATTCCCGAGTCTGTACTAACTTCCATTGGACATTAATTTAAACCTTTAATAATTTGAAAAAAATATAAGATGTCAAATAAATTCTTTTTTGTTTATAAACAGTTAGTTTTTTTTTTAGGTGAAAGTTTTGAGCTTAATAATATAAAATTAAATTTTAATCAAAACAATTTAACCATTGGAAATTTATTTCTATTGAGAAAAAAAATAAGAAAGATAATTTTGGCCATATTTTTCCTTCAAGACTTTTTTTATATTGAAAATAATTTTTTGAAGATGCATAATAAGTAAATAATTATAATTTAAATGTTCTGAATTATTGATAGTAAAAATATTTCACTGTTCAACAAGTGGTTAAATGATATATGTAAATGTAAAAATAAAAGCATTTAATGAGTTAAATAGAAATATATTTTTACTGACTTGAAAATAGCTCAAAATACCCAAAAGGTCTTGAAAGATAAATGGATGGATTTTGTTCTTGCCCTGATGGCCTTTAAATCTAATTAAAAAGTATGAAAGAATCTTCATATAAAAACAAAAGACAAAAAAAAATTAATTTTAAGGATATTGCTGCATGATCCAAAAATACTAGAATATTTTAAAGTGTTAATGCTTTGTTCTTGAAATCTGACAATTATATCCAATGAAAGAATAGACAGGTATATTCTATCCCTAAAACAAACTAATTTAAAAATTTAATTAAAAATGAAAAAAATACCACTGTTATTAGATGATTGATTTCATTTCTAAAATTAATATGAAGAACAAATTTTAAGAATTTAAATGAGAAAATTTCTAGTAAATATTATATTTCAACACTAATTTTAATTTTTAAAGATCAAGAATTCCATAATCAGTTTTATATGTTTACAACATTTATACAAAGTTACTTACAGTGTGATGGTGACTTTTTGAGACTTCTTAAACTGTTGAAACAGCAATATGGTATATGATTGCAATTGAATTCTTTACTTTTCATTAAAGATGTAATCAATTCATCAGATGATTTAGAAGAATCATCTGGACCAATAAGATAAAAATCATTTATCCACTCTTCATTATCCTTTTCAAAACAGCATGCTTCAGAATCATTTGAATAGATTTCTTCTTCATCTGATTCCAGAGGGCAAAGTGGGTCTTCAATTTCACATTCTATTGATTTGCATTGGTCTTCTTTATTATTTGAATCACAATGCTCTGTCTTCAATTGGCAATTTGATTTATCCAGGCTAATATTCTTCCGAAATATATTTCCACTTAGGCATTCCTTTTCAAAATCATTTTCAATAATACTTTCATTATTATGATGACAGCTAATGAATCTGAGCTCATTTTTATTACATGAATTCTTTTTTATTTTAGGTTTGACACATTCAGATTTAGAGTTTTCACTACTATTTCTATGTTTATAATCTTTGCAAAGATTTGATGGAATTTCAGTATCATTTTTGAAGTTTGCATAGCAATTTGCATTGATTTTATGACATATTACGTGTTGATTAAAGATATTTCTTTTTGATTTTAAATCAGTAATATTTTTTATAAATGGATTGTAACAGTTATTTATTGAAGCCTCATCCTTTTCGTGTGCTGGCTCACAAATTGAATTTACTTTTTTCGAACACTTCTTTGAAAGAATATTCTTTATTACAGATATTATTTTGTACAAATTGACTAGTTTTCGGGTGTTTGCACTATGATTGCAAAAATTGCTACATTTTTGTTCCAGCAATTTACAATCTATACAATTTTTTTTGCATGAATCTTTGCATTTATTTATTAATGGTTCCAGATTTTGGTATGGAAATGACTCACATATACTTATCTTATCTTCCTCACTGTCTTCTTTAATATCTGTATCTGGACTGACTTCACAAATATTTTTACTTTTAAGTTCTTTATTGCAAGCATTATAGATTTTGTTAAGTTCTGATTTAGAAACAGCAGTACAGTTGCTGGCATTTTTACAATCTGTGATCAAACTGCTACATTCCTCCTCACATTTGTAGGAATCAGAAAGTAATTCTTTACTTTCTTTGAGGGATTTGTTAGAATTTTTATTGATTATTTTATGCTGCCTAGCTTGTGAAGATTTTGTGCTGTTATCATTTTGGCATGAATTAATTGGAACACAACTATTATTGTTTTGTTTTGAGTATTCTTTCTCAGAAGTGAGTTCACATAGACATGGCTTAATGCTATGTTCTTCATTTTTATCATTGGTATTCATCTCATGGCTAACATTACAAAGCCTGGCAAGCCCTTTATCACATGCATCATGGATTTCACAGATTTCAGGTTCAGAAGAAGTAATGCAATTGATATATGGATTGTTATTATTTTCTATAGAACATCTAAGATTGTGGTATTTACAAGGATCACAAATTAATCCTAAACTATCATTAGCTTCTTTATCACAACTATTAGTGAATACATTATCCTTCCTATGTTTTGGCTTTGAGCTTTTAAATTTAACATCTCCAATTTCATTACTTGTGTTAGACTTTAATAATTGAAGATCAATATTGTCCAAGATGCACTTACAACTCTCTAGTTTGCTACCAGATTTTTTGCATCTTATACAAAAAACAAGTTCCTTATTGTCATCTATATCAAAATATGGCTCATTTGAACAGCTATCATTACAACACAATCCTTGGTGTATTGTTTGTTTGGTATTTGATTCTTTACAAATTATATCAGAATCACAATCCAGTGGTTTATGCATGGAACAGAAGACGATTTTAATACATTTAGACGATGAGTCATTTTGATTAATGATGGTTGGATTCATTAATGATATATAGCAATTCTTACCATCTCTTCCTTTATTTAAACCATCTATAACCTCATTTTCTTTTGAATCTTTGTAATCACTGATTATATTTTTTTCACCAAAAATTGGTATAACGGAACCAGAATGTTCTTTAGATATTTCACAAGTTTTATTTGTATTCATAGCTCCGAAATGGTCTTTAGTACACTTTTTAGCAAGTGAATTTTTCTTGTTACGAGATTCTGAAACACTTGAACTTTTTAAACATGTTGTATCAGAAATATTGGCTTTGCATGATTGATAATTTGACACAGACTTGGTATTGTCATTTTTTGTTAAACCATAATGATTAAAATCATGCTTGTCCATAAGAAATTTAAGGGAATTGTCTGTGTCAGCTGTACAATCATTTCTTGAACTTGCTATATGGCTCGAGTTGCAATTACAATTTTCTTTATACGCTTCATTATCTTGATGTGGAGTTGGTTCTAAGCTACCAGTATTACAAGGGATATGTGAAACATTTTTGCGAAAATGGCAATTATCAATACAATTACAATTTCTTATTGTTGTGATGTCTGCCCATGTTGGATATATGCTCGTTCTAAAACTTCTGCAACATAAACTTTGGGGATTTCTGTTTTTAGGGATCCCATGAAATCTTGATGTTTCTTCACTATCACTGTATTCACATTTGTTTTTACAACATGGTGTGTTTTGAGAGCATTTGTTTGCTTTATGAGAAGTAGAATTAACTGTATCAGAAATATTCCTGTTAATGACATCAGATTCATTGCAAGAAATATTTTTGGTTATACTACAGATTCCTTTGTCCAATTCACAAAATTGCTTTTCCCACTTATCAGAGCATTGGGTTATATGAGTCAAGTTTGATTCTTTACCAAAATCAGTTTTATTTGTATGTTTCATTACAGATTCTTTACTTTTATTAAAATTTTGACAGGAGAGATGACAATCTTCATATGTTTTACTGTCCAGTTCCGTATTTGAAGATGGTTGAGCTTCCTCTGATAAGCCTTCATGCTGTTTACATATTTTTAATTTACACTTTTTAAAATAAGGCAAGAAATATTCCACACACATGTTAAGAGGGCATCTACGGGAAGTATGTATATCATTGTGATTTTCATTGAGCCTTAGTTTGTTTGGTTGATTACACTTGGAGACAAAAGAAGTATGACATTTCGAAGAACAGTTTTCATTATATTCTGGAAAATTAGTTTTAAGTAGTTCATTTGAAAGATCTTTACATAATTCTTTGCTATCATATGATACATCACATGTTGACTGGCATGTATTACAATCCAGAATGTTACTTGCATTTTGATTGCTTTTACCTTTCGAACAAACAATGCATTCCTTAACATTTAGCTGACATTTGTTTGGTTGATTATGACAATGAGTATCTTGATGATTTACATTTTTAACTTTTTTAGAGTAATCAGTATTGTTACATATATCATCTTTTTTAATGTGTATTACTAATTGAATATTTTTTGCATCATTTCCAGCTATATCTTCTTGATTTTCTGTTGATTCTTCAATAATATTATATTGTATATCTGAGATATCGTATTTATCATTTTCAATAGCTTGATTCTGTTTATTGCAGTTGCCTAAGCAATGATTTTTTCCCGATGCAATTTCAAGAGGTTCTGGACTATTTTGACTGCTAGTACCGTTGTTATCGATTGGTCCATTTCCTGGTAAGGCTTCTGACAGTTTTTTAGATCGTTCACAGAAGTTTTTTCTTTTTAAATGTATTAAATACTTGCATAGCTCCTTCACTAATGGTGATAACTCTTCAGAACCATTTACATTATTTACCTATAAAACAGTTTAAAGATATGATTAAAAAAATTCAAATTTAATTGTTGGTTTATATAATTCGTATCAATATTATAGTACTGTATTTGTGAGTTCTGCAATAATAAGTTTCTCTATAAATAAATGCAATACTCACCCATTTATTTCTTTGTATTCAAAATTATTTGTACTACTCTGGCGGTATACAAATTATATGAAATTGTTTATATTTATATTAAGGAAATAATAGTTAATTTAAAGCATTGAATTATATTTTTTTTCAGCATAGGTAACTAAAATCAATGCTTTGAGAGTTTAAGAGTTCAAGTTCTGAATGCAACTAGTAAAATAGTGGCAAGTGATTGGATCGATATTGTCTCTTCTAAACATTTTCGGTGAAGATATAACAGTTTTATTTTATATTTTATAGAAAAAAATTTCTACTTTTAGTTATGAATCTTTTGTAAAGAATTAATTTGTATTTTTATGAAAATATTTTACCAACAAAATACTTTTATTAGAAGAAAAAATGAAATTCATTCTTCACTTTAAATATATATATAATTTCAACAAAGAAAATTATGATTGTTGATGTTACTTCTATTTGTACATTGTTAGAGTATCATGTAATTTATTACTGAATAATTCCATTCAATGGTTATTTCTTTATTTTAATTTATTTTGTATTTAATTATTATGACTTCTATGATATTCTTCAAATTAAAATCTATTTGTTAAAGAGAAGTTGATTGGGGTTTTCACTGACTGAAAACCCCAACCATCTTCTTTTCAATATACAATAGCCAGTAAAAGTATTCATGCATGCATTGATCAAAATTAAATATTAAGGAGAAACATTTGCCATGTATAGTAAAAAGTGTAGACGGTAGTGTTTTTGTGATTGTATGTCTGCTTGTGAAGTCAGGAATTTGGTTTTTACCAATTGATTGATAAAGCAGTAAATATTTAAAGGGAATGTAATGAATATTTAAGAGATAATAATGGAAAAAATGAGTATAGAACGAACATTTAAATTTTACCAGAACAATAAGCCATGACCCAAAGCTTATGGCTTATTATATGGCTATACACATGTTATATAATCGCTGCTATATAACTTCCAAATGAACATGAAACTTCTATTCAGAGTCTAGATTTAAATGCTATCGAACAATTATGAATTTGTGTTGATTCACTGTTCAGTAATGAAAATAACATCATTAAAGAAACTATAACACCAGTAAATTATCTTAAAACAAAATTCTTGGAAGAATGGGAGAAAATACCCTCCCAAATCAATTCGAAGATGACTTCATCATTGCCCAGATGACTTAAAACGGTACTTAAAACAAAGAATAGCATTCAAAATATTAATTTAAAATTTGGACTAAAATAAATTATTATATAATATGAAGATGTAGGAAAACTTTTGCTGCATCAAAATCCTTGTTTTACAGTTAAATGTTTATTTAAAATAAATATATTTATTTTTAGACAAATATTTTTGATAAAATTAATGACAGTGGCAGTGATGTTATAGTTGCATAATTCAATTATAAAAAATATGGGAAAAATGATTGTTTTTATCGATTATTTTAATTTCAACTAATGCATATATGAAAACTTTTGCTAGCCACTGTATCTGCTACAGTCAACAATTATCCTCCACCATGAATAATACCTATTTGTTTCAGTTTATAATTGAAAACACTACTTATAATAATTTTGGTGATATTTTTTAATAATAGTTTGAACATTTGAATTTAGTCTTTACAGATGTAAATTAGTAATTTCGTATAGTTGTAAACTATAAATAATATTTTTATTTTTGTGTAGTAATCATTATAATAAAATATTCTTCTGCATAGTTTTGAGTATTAATTGTGTTAGTATCTAATTAAAAATTAGGGTATTGAATTAATTAATCTTGTATTAATTGCTAATGATTACACAGCTCAAATATTTTTTTCATCATTTGGTTTTCTCACAAATCGGAAACCCCTTCAATTCGTGAATATGCAATATGCGTAACACAAAACATGTTTTACATAATAAATTCCTTTATTAATTAATATCCTTACTTTATGATACTTTTTTAATAAATTATTTTAGGTCTGTGGCTTGTTTTTTGATTTGTTACCAACTTCAATGAAACTTTTTTTTTTTGGCACTAGATCGAAAAATATTGTACCCATGTCTGGGGTTGCCAATGTTTCTTGGAATGGAGAAAAAAAACGTTGTTTTAATTAATTCGAACAAAATTTATGTTATTAAGTTTTGTCTTTGCTTTTCCTAAATTTTTTTATTATTATGTACTAATCGATTACTTTTTGTGTGGAGAACAAGCAAAAAACAATATTGATTATGGTATTAAATGAGTTGTTAAGTATCTTAAATAACAAAAACTAAAAGCGGCTTTTATTAAAATAGGCCATGTAAATTTTTCTATGATTATTTTTGTATGTGTTTCATGTTCTAATATAGCTATTTTGATGACCTGGAATTATTTTAAACATGACCTGGAAAAGTTGAAAAATACTGGGAATTACATAAAAAAAAGTTTTGGCAGATACTCTATATAACTTATCATGCCTAAACTTTAACCTTTTTAGAAGGGGGGATCAAGTCCAATCAGCTTATTAGCCATACCCCAAAATTCTGAAAATGGTATAATAAATTTTTTTTTTTTAATATCACTATATTCTTTGAATATATTCAAATAACCATAATTTAAACCAGGAAAAAGAACTTCAACTCAGCCATCTCATTGATAATTGGATAAGTGCTTTTTATTTACTCCAATCTTAATTGTTGTAGCTTGAAAACAATGTAAATTTGTGCCAGATTTACAATTAAGTGAAAGTGCAATATAAATGACTTCAAAAAATCAAAATAACTGTTTATTTTTTGCAATCATTGTATGATATTCGGAGAATTTTAAGTGTTCTCTAGGATTCTTAAATTTCATTATCTATAGGTAAGGGAGAGCAATTTTTTCTGATCATAATTTCCCTTGAAAACCACTATAGTTCAGTTTTAACAAAATTAATTTTTATCCTTTTTTCTTGTTATCCATTTTATTTTTGAGAATTTTCTCAAATTTATATTTTTTTAAACTTTTAAATGGAAAAATATCTCTTTTATAAATTATAAAATGAATTTTGCAAATTGTTGACAAATCAATAGAACTGTTCTCTCTGGCATCAATTTCGTCACAGGGCCATGTGTTCTTAAATACGTAAATACAGATGGCCTTGCCTAAAAAAGGAGCAACTGTCTCTTTCTAAGTCGCAATGAGAAATAAAGATGATCCCTCAGCAGTTTCTGATTGAGATAAAACACGGATATTGAAATCTGATTTGAGTGATGTAGTAGAAGACCTACAAAGGAAGGGTGTTTAGGAAATGATGAGGGTTTGATAGATAAGATTAGCGTAGCTACTTACTGCCAGGAAGAGAAAAGTAGCCGAACATAAGAGAAACCACCGCATCTGGATTCGGGAATAGTACACTGTTGGGGAAGGAACCCACGGGGAGCCATATTGGAATGGGGAGATAGAATATTGAGGCTATCGGTTGGCTGACAACCTAGAAGTGATTGTAACAGTAGCACGGATGCCAAGCGAAGGCCAGTTTTGGAATGGTGTTTTTGGAGTGAGGGGGTCAACACGTTGGATCGTCTAGGGTGCTCCTGTACAACACTGGAACGGTCCTGATCTGCATCGCATCAGCAGTTTTGTCTCCTGGTTGGTGGAATATGTGGTACTGGTGCTTCTTCCAGAACTGTATTAAGCAACGGTATTGCTCGCCTAACTGCGATATTTGGCTATTTACGTCCCTCTTTGTCCTACTGCTGGCCTACTTCCGGATCCTGATCTACATGGAGGACAAGAAGAGGAACCTCACGCTCAGGTACTTCGCCATCGTTGTCGGAGCATTGTGTTCATACTTGGCTTACACTTGTTACACCTGTAACTGCAATCACAGCAAGACCCCCACCGGGCTTAGTGTCTACAAGAATATTACCGTGTTTTAATGAAGATGACATTAGTTGATTGGTAATCCTTTATCATTATTATTATTACTATATATAAATTATTAAAATTAAACCTCGCATTCATTTAACACTAATTTTATATAATTTATTTCTTCTTTAAAATTATATGTCGGCGATAACTACCTGGAAGTTAAGATAAGCCAAGGTGATAGGAATCGATGTTTAGTTTAGACATGTTTGAGTTTTTGGTCGCGCAGCTATAAAACAACCTCCATGGAGGAAATCGTGAAATGTATAAGATATACTTTATAAAAATAGATCCCTTATTGTTATTAGTTATTAATTATTTTGTTGATGTAATATAAGGAAGGATAAAGTTTGGTGGCTGAGTACTTCCTTCATACATCTTACTCCCCTTCCCTTCAAATATAAATATTAAAGAAAAATAACGGATGCATTCGATGTATTAATAAAAAAATATTGTAAATTCTACCATAGTGATGACTTTAGACGTAATGATGGGAAGTTAATGCTTGTAGTGAAGGTGGTAGATATGTACTTTATTTTCTTATATAATATACAATTTCTAATATATTAAAATTTTTCTTTTTCAACGACTGTAAATTGAATCCATATATTCAATATATGGAATTCTGTTAACATATACAATGTGTATGTATTCCTTCACTCAAGACGAATATCTTCCAAGATTGGTCAAATCTTGGGTAATCATAATCCTTTATATACCGTAATTATGTATTAAAATTATTATTTTATGTCAGAGAAATAAAATAAGATAGTTTTAGTGAAAGTTTAATTTGCCTTAAATGTCATCATCGTGAAACGTCAGAATAAAGTATGACAACAGTATCACGATTCTTGATAACTTGACCCATTTCTCTGTATCAAGGTAAGAACTGCTTATATGCTGGTTTTTCTTCTTTCATTTAAAACAGATTTTAGCAGTATCAGTGATAAAAAAACTTAACAATATTATCATATATTTATAATATTATCGCTTATAGTTGAACTGAAGACTGAATAAATTATTTTAAGATTGTAAAATAGCTTTCTAGAATCCAGTGACTGATCTCATTTAGTTATAATTTGTTGTTAATTTGTGACTGAATAAATAAATTAAATTTATATCGTCGGTATATAAAAATTTATGTAATTATATATGTACATAACATTTAAGCAGATAGCTTGTAAATTTAGTATAGAACTAATTCGTAATTCATCAGATGTCTTTCAATTTATTATTTATGTTTCATTTGTATATAATTGTTGAATGATTAGTTATTTTACTTGTTATCGTAAAAGGAATCTTTGGTTGCTTATGTAAATATTGCTTTCGTTATTGTAATATTTATCTTTATGTAATTTCTATATATATATATATTTATTCACTAAGAAATACTTCTACGAAATTATCTACGTTATTGTGGATTTATAAATATAATATATAAATTGTAAATTATTGCAGTTAAAACTATTACACTGTAAATTATTTACAGTTATAGTAATTTGACAATTACTATAATTCGTAAATATGATCTGGTATATAAATACGTAATCATAAAATATTTGGATATAATCATAAAAAAAATGGATTCCTGATGCTATTCTTTATAAAAAATTCTGAAATTACCTAAATCCCTCCCCCCCGTATTATGTGATCCTTCAATATAAAAAGAATTAAGAACTTGTAATACCATTGTTTCACCTCTTCAGTTATAATCAATAAGATAAATCTTTTTAACACATTGAACTACCTATGTAGATATTAGAACTATGTACAAAGGAAGGAGATGGTCCGGAGTTGCGGTCATAATAAGGCTTAATAGTGGTAAAACTATTTTATTGAAAGCCTTTCAATAAAATAGTTTTACCACTATTTAGCCTTTTTATGACCGCAACCCCGGACCATCTCCTTCCTTTATAATGCAACGGTCAACTATTAAATATTCAATAGAACTATGTACACACTTAGATAGTAAGGATAAACGTTGTGCATGCAGGAATACATATTATCCCATTGCAGCAAAGAACTGTATTGCCTGATAGTCAAGGTAAGGTGGAAAATAAAATAAATGATCATGGGCTAATGCGAACTGGTAGGTAAGAAATAGCTGCCTGCATAGCTTTAATTCATTTAGAGAGGATGCTATTAAAAAAAAGTAAGGATAAAAATAGATTGGAGGTATTATGGATATATATATATATATAGGTATTATGGAGGTATATGGATCATTTTAAGGAGGTATTATGTTTCTATGCATTGTAATATACAATGTTTACGGAAGTTTACGGAATTTTATTAACTGTATCATAAATGTCCGATCCTGTAAATGGATGTTGAACAAGACATTGGCAGATAGCATTATTAAAGCCTTTCGTAAATTTTAGCTGTAAATTGGGGAATTTAGAGTACTTATTAATAGGAGATTTTTTTAATGTTATGTTATAAATATGAAACTGTATCCATTTATACATTGCTGAAGTTCTAAATCGAATACTAGTCTACATAACTTGAGAAAATAGCATCGTGGAGTGTGAATTTACCTTATAGCTAGACTTAGAAAGAAAGAATTCTTTCTTAATTTCTAATTTTGTTTACAAAATATTTACATATGTAACCATAAATTAAAAAATGATGATTCAATCTTATAAAATATTTATATATTTAATAAATTAACTCGGAAACTGATGGAAAACAACGTTAGTTTCAACTTATTCCCTTTCGAATTTTCCCGTAGGCTGCCATATGAATTGCTTTCATTGCAAATACACTGTACTAGACCGCCATATTGGCATTTTCTTCTAAATATCCTCATATGGTAATCTGATCTTGTAATACAATGTAGACGAGGTTTAATCCTTGATCGATTCTTGTACTGTTAGGGAGTTTATTGAAAGTATTTATATGAAATAATAAATAATATATCTACCATAAAACAGAAAATTAAGTGCATTAAGGACCCCAGTATTTTGGATTGGAAAATACTGAAAGGATTTTGTTGAACAAATATCTTTCGTTAAATTACTCAATACAACCTACCTCAAAATGTCGAAGACTCATTTTCTGTGATTCGATGCTAATCCATTCTGGCTGATTGATTACTTAAAATGATTTAACGCTTTTGTGTAATATTGTGAAAATCACTGTAATAGGCGTTACGCGCTTTTGCAATGATCTGCTTGACTCCATCTGCCGTGTTCATTGCTTTGATTGCGAATCTTACTTAATAGTTTCTGCTACTTAACTGTTGCAGTGTCTTTTTAAAAACTTTTTTTTTTAATGTTTACGCTTTTTTTTTCACAAGTTTGACATGATTTTATATCATTAAGTAAGTTCCTATCAAGTAATATTTTAACGTACCGAGAAACTGCAGCGCACTCACCGTTTGGTATAGAAAAAGAACTATATTAAAATACATAAAAAAATCTGATAAGTGAAAATTTCAAGAAATGAATAACTAAACCAATTTTTTGTTTTAAGAAATAAAAGCTGCTAATAAGAGGAAAAACGACACTTACTATGAAATTATTTTTTTATATATTTTTATGTTAACATTAAATACCTTGTAGATCTTTTACAGCCTTGACCAGCATTATCCTTCTCTGTCTTTCTTGAGCTATTTCTATCCAGCTATCCGCAAGCAACTCTATTGCATCTTTGTGTTATTCGATCTATCTGATTATCTGTTTTTTTTTGGCTCCCACGTGGTCTTTTACCTTCTATTGAGGCATTCATTGTTGTGGAGAGGCTTCCAGATAAGTTGCTACGAGCTACATGTCCACCCCATCTTAACATACTTATAATCTTCTCCAGCGCTAAATTGAACAACATTGGTGAGAGTCGATTTCCAAGCAGTAAGCCAGTTCCAACCTTGAAGGCTTCTTCTTTCATGATGACTCGACATTTAAAGTCATTTGTATACGACTTTGTCATTCTCATTTACTTCCAGGAATTACCCGATCTGTCGTGTTTTTCAAAAGACAGTTCCTGTCCACGCAATCTTAGGCTGCTTTGAAGACGAAAAATAAGGTGTGCACATCCTGAGCTACTCCCCATTGTTTTTCGAGTACTTGTTTTAGCATGATGATCTGATCATATTATATCCCTTCCTCTTCTGAATACAGCTAATAATGAATATATTATATATTAACTTACTACTTCGTAACTTTTCTCAACTTATTTTATTATGCATGCATCTTTTATTTTTTTTGTGCTTGGTTATTCGTACCTACCTACCATATAAAATTAATTAATTCACACTCAAAGAGTTTTTAGTTGATGTTGTGAGCTTACAAAAAGTCACCAAGTACGTTTAAGATGGGGCTAAACGCTTAAGTGCATTTTTGGGAATTTTGATGTTATTTATATTAATAAACATTAAGTTCTTTCTAAATGACACAGATCTTTTTATAAATATAGCTCCTCTAGGTGCTCGATGTTTTGATACAACAGATGTAAAATTCATCAAAGTACCTAATAAATTTTATTTCATGATTTTTTGCAATAATTGCCGTGTACCGGATCCAGGATTTAATTTTGAGAGGCTTCAGCCCGAAAGATTTTTATATATATATATATATATATATATATATATATATAACAATAATTACTGTGGAAGAAAAATAAAACCTTACTACCTATATAAAACGGTGTGTAAGTGATTATTTAAGTCCTGTTAAATATAATTACACGAAAAATAATACTCTCAGAGGTAATTTTTTAATATTTTTTTTTTTTAAAGACATGGTTATGTATTACCGTTTGGGGGTAAGGAGAAGAAAGAGAGACTGAGGCCGAAAGCTCTCATCCCTCTTCCTAAATCTGCCTCTGGTGTGACCTGTTGTCGACATCTTAGGTTTTTTTTTTTTAAGTTAAAATTAACTGTATGACACCATTTTTTATACAGAATTTAATTTAGAGTATATTTAGATTCTGAGAAATAACGAAAAATGATAAACTCTTTTTATTGAATTAGTTATTTATAAACTAATAAGGACATTATGATTAAATAATATTTTTTTATTTTTATACAGATAATCTTTTTACGCACGTACGCATGCATATTTTAATACTTGTTTGTTGTGGAATTGAATAATTTTATTTAATTATAATTGAGAAAAAAAAATATTCATAAAAAGGGTTAGTTTTAGATTTACTGGATGGATAATAATTAAGGAAATATAATGTCTTATTTTAAAAAAAAAAATCCAGAAAACTAATTTAAAAGATATTTTTTAATACGCCATGTTTCAAGTATATAATTACTCATAATTAATATTCATGTGTAATTTTACTGATTCCGTGAAAACGAAGACATTTGTTATAGGTGGTGTAAATTATATACATTTACCGTTATTTGAAACATGATTTGTAATAAGGTCATCAATTTGAAGAAGAAAAAACTCCTGAGACCAAATAGGTAGTTTTGTTTATTAAAAATACTGGGTCAGGCCAATGAAATGGGGGCGGCCATTGCTACGCTGAGGTCTTTTGCAATGTTTACTAATTGCCAATCTATTACCTCAGCCCTTTTCATTGCCAAGGTCTCCAAGTCAGTAACCGATGTTACGTGCTAAAAACCGATAATATTGCTAAATTTTGAATAATATGGCTAAATGCTGAGTGGCGTTATATTAATGATGGATATCTGTCATTTTTTAAAAGTTGAAAGAAAAAGCCAATTTTCATAACATAGCTTCAACTTAGACCAATTTTAATGATTTTTTTATTCAAGGATCAACTTGAACATTCACAAACTAAATCATCAGAAACGGTTTGAGTTGAACCTATAAAATTAAAATTGATTTTTTATCCGCTATTTAAAAATGACAGATGTCCTTATTTGATATGAAGATATTCATATTTTATCGATCACTGAAAAAATATCAATTGACGAAACTGTAAATAATATTCTATGTTTATTAATCTAATAAGGAACTTATTGAAAAAATAACGAATAAATAATAACCATTTTCCATATTTATGTATGTATAATATTTATCTGATGTATGTTTGATTGGGGATCAAAGTACTGCGCATTGAAAAGAAGGATCTGCTTACGAAAACTAGTCAATCAAGATCTCATAGTATAAAGGCAACGATGTTAAGATGCGCAGGACATGTAACAAGGAACAATCCATCAGGAAGCTTCTATATAAACAACAATGAATACCGCAATAGCCAGCTAGAGAAGATGGGGAAGGCCAACAACTAAATGGATAGATCAAATCAACTAACATGCAATAGATCTGCACAGGCAAAAAATCTGCAAGGTCTATAATGCCAACAGATATATATATATATATATATATATATATATATATATATATATATATATATATATATATATATATATATATATATATATATATATATATTATTTTTTTCTGTTGGTATATATATGGGTAATCACCACTACGGGCCAGTGAATGTATGTTAAATATAGGTCCTTATGGGTCTGACCTTGAACAGCCATAATCTGTTGATCTAGATCGATTAGTCACTATTCTTGTACATGAGTGAGTCAGTAGGAAGGACATAGCCGACTTAGTCCATAGCCGAATCTATGAATCTATAGATAAACTGCCGCTTTACCATGGGAACAAAAGCAATGTGAGGTTGGGTAATCAAATCAAATTTGGTGTTGTTGTTTGTTTTTATATGTTTCTATGTTATTGGTAAATTTTGTAAGAATAATTTGTCTCTTTTTTTTTTTTTTTTTTTAGTTTTCTTATAAACAGTTATTTGTTATTCGCAAAACAATTTACCAATATCTAGAGTTAACAATCTGTCCCCCTAGATTGGATATATATCTGTGTGTGTAATCATGCCAATGTATCCTGAAATCTATCATTAATAACATCAACTTTCAATACATATAAGCAGTAACTAATTAACTATAAGGCAATATCTGGTCGAAGAACCCATGTCCAGATAATCGGAACGTTTCCTCCCACTGTCTATGTCATAACGACTGAGCAACCTGGAGGCAGAAGCTTTTCATGGCTTAACTGTCAATCTCAGAACAATTCCAGTTGGAAAAAATAAAAACAAGGCATTGTTTACGGAAAACAAGAGAAACTACAGTATTTGCTAATTGTTAAAGATTTAAAACCACTGTTTCCTTCCTGAAAATATTTTAAAAAGAAATCACGGGAATCCACGGAAAATTTTAGTTAAAAGTATATGTTATTACTCAACTTAAAAGTTAGTCCAACACATAAATAAAAGAGATATAAATATGAGAACTTATAAAATTACCCAAAACAATATATAGGACGTCCCTTAAGTACAGGATTTTCTTTTAAATCGGAGAGCTATAGCTAATAATAAATAATAAATGAAAACTGAAATTTACATTAATGTTTATCCTTCAGAATTAATTCCTAATAGTATTTTAAATTCATTATGAAGTTTTTTCTATAATATTTAAATATCACTCAATAAGTGACAAACTTAATGTTCCTGATCCTAATATTTACGTTTTAATGAAAATAATTGAAGCAATCAGCAGATTTATTTATTTTAAACATAAATTATAGGACCAAAAATATTTATGTCGTCACTCATAAATACAGATCAATTTTTATAATAGAGATTTCAGTAAAAAAATAAGTTTCATAACCAGTTTACATGAAAAAAAAATTGAAATATCATTATTTTAATACTGGTTTTTAAGAGATAAAAGTATATTTAGGCAATCATGTTTATCATGACCCATCGCAAATCATGATAAAACACGAAATAAAAGCTTTTGCAACAATTTATTTTTGTCATTTTTGCTGGAAAGACGGGTACTTTTAGATGACAGGATATGAAATCAAATCATTTTTTACACAACTTGAGGTAAACTTCAAGGTTTCCTCTAATAAACCTCAATTTAATTAATTGATACCAAATTCTACAAGAACTGAGCATGCGCCCTAAGTCAACAAGAATACTGCACCATGAAGTCACGTGCGAGTATGACAGTCATCCTGCTTCGCTCAGTTTAACGAGCCACATTTACTTCCTTTCAATTCCTTCCATGAGGTTACATACCCGTACTGTAGCCGTAGAAGACAAGAAGTCGACATGTCCATTTACTGATATCTCAATGTGTAGTTGGAACCCGTAACAAAGAACTGTGAAAGAACAAATCATTTTATGAAAAAAAAAATAAGCCGAAGCAGGGAAACCTGGCTCGATAAGCGCATTTGTTAGCTTCAATCCACTGGATGACAAAAAGATATACCACGGATTACTTTCATAACACTTTCATTTCAGGATATTGCACTCCAAAGTTCAGGAAACTTTTATATGATCTCTCGAGGCATTTTTATCCTCTTTTTCCCTACTACGATACCCTCGCTGCCGCATAGAAGAGGGTATGTAGAAAACTACTGAAAATAGCTTTCACTCACTAAGTGGATTTTTGCGTCGCGGATGATGATAAATATTTTATATTTAAGATATAACAATTTTTGTGTTATCAAAAAATGACAAATACAATGGTTCCAATTATGCTAATGTACGTACAAAGATTACCAAATGTCTGCATGTTTTTAAATACTTCCACATCATAAATATTACACCACTATCGTTTCCTTAAAAGGTTGCCAAACTATAGCTGTCAATACACTTATTGAACTTTATAATTGATATTCTCTAGCCTAAATTGTTCATCTAGTGATGAACCAAAATGATTTATATTAGTATATGCAACAAAGACATTTATAAAAAATAATAGTAATTTAATATTTTATTGTCAAATGAAATATTATATCAATTAAGTTGATTACTTGAGTAAAAATTATGAAAACCATCATAAATGAAGTTAACTCTGTTCTTAAATCTTAATTTCATTGAATATTTCATGATCAGGCTGATTGAATGTATGATAAATTTTTAGAATGAGAAATTGAATCGGTTAGAAATGATTAGCGAAGGGTATATTTTATAGGATATGATAAGGAAGGGGAGATAAAGGATTTTTCTTCTTCGTTTTGTTTCCTTGAGGTTGTTCTCCTTTAATGCTTCACATGGAGCAGATCGGCCGATGTACCCCGAAGTGTGAAGAATAAGTCGAAAAGCAACTATTTATGTAGACCGGCGTGAGGTGGCGAGGGGTCACGTATAGGTTGGCAGGGTGTTTATGTGCCTCGTCCGTACTGCTGAGCTGGCTGCTGCACTAGCTATATCAACTCTCTTGTCGGAACCGTTGCGACAGACAGACGGACACTATGGCAGGGTCCAGCACGATCATCCCTCTAATCTTCGCCCTTGTGGTTACGTCACAGGTACCTTCACATCCTTTATCCTTAGATTGTATCCTCTCATAGATTAATCCTTACCTTCATCCTAGCAGTACGAATATAAAAGGAATCTACCATATCTTCTTTTATCAAACTATATGCTTTAGTCATTGGTATGTTCTTTTCAGATGTGACTTGACTTGTAAATAAAAAACATTCTTACATTTTTCATTTGGTAGAATTTTTAAAATAATACCAATGTAATAATCATAAATCAAAACGACATAGGTTCCACATATGAAATCAATCGGACAACGTAGAATATTTACTGCCACTGCGAGGAGTTTTTTGTATATCATTATTTTTAAAAGTTTCTTAGATTGCTCATTTTGTGCTTTGCGGGTTATCTTTATGAGGTCATTTGTACCTCTTTGGATTCGATAGATAGCATGCTTTCCTTAGTCAATAGATAACATTAGTCGGCAGATAACATGCCTGAACACTTAGTTTATAAATTAATAAATTAGTATTTAGGATATGATTAAAAATGAAAATATGTTCCGTGATATTTACAATCATATTCAGCTTCTAAGCTAAATACATATTGCAGCATCCAACGTATTTCCTTGTTTCAATATTATAATATAAAGAAAAATACCTGATATATAAACTTTTTATACATATTACATATATTTATATGCCACAACCCTCTCTTAAGCATTTGTGTTTTTGCTTGTGGACTCCCATTCCCCTTATCATTTCATGTCGTTATGTTAATAACTACTTCAATGACAACGATCGTCAAGGAATTTTGTGGAATGAGTTATTTGATTAAAATCAAAAAGTTGGGGAATCTAAAGTTAATTTGGACATTGTTTCGGTGATGGATGAGCGAACTCCTCGAGGTCGACGGACCACAGTTAGGTTCCCAAACACTCGTTAAGACTAAATTGATCTTACATGGTATTAGACTAGCAATGATTTAGGTTAAGGAAGTTATCAGATGCAGATGAAATGAAAACGAAAAATGTTATGTATATAATGAACTACAAAGATGTAAAAAAATACATGACAACAAATATATAGAATCCAAGGTTTATAATTTTTTGCTAACTTTCAGATACTTTGTTAATGAAAGTGACACTGAAACTACACTTAAATTTAAAAACTCTGTTGTCATAATTTTGACAGAATATTTTATTACTCAATAAAACTTTTCTCGTTGGCTGATGTAAAACATTATTTCGTCTAGTGGAATAACCAGTTTCATTAAAGCGATTCATCAAAAAGATGTTGGTTGAGAACGGAATTCCAAAAAATTAAAAACAATATTTATCTAGAAGAATTGTATTGCATAAGATCAAAATGTAGCTGATACATCCCAACGTACTTGCTTGCTAAACACTGCAGTAACTGTTTTCTTGACATAGACAACCTAATAACTTTTTATAATCGGAAGAAAAACCCACATTTCTAATAAACAGATTATAATTTATTGTTTCTAGGAATAAATCAGTATATGTTGTATTCTAGTCATAAGATAAAAAATTGAATTTTTCATATTTATAACGAATTGTTTATATTTGCAGGATGTGGCAGGCTGCCTGAAACTAAAGAAACTATGCTGCCTCCCACCATGCCTGTTTCCACCACCATGCCTTCCACCTCCCTGCTTACATCCATTCTTACCTCCCTGTCTTCCTCCTCCCTGCTTACCTCCCTGCCTTCCGCCTCCCTGCTTACCCCCATGTCTTCCCCCATGCCCACCACCATGTCTGCCACCCTGCCTACCTCCTTGTCCACCACCCTGCCTACCCCCTTGCCCACCACCAGGTCTGCCTCCATGTCTTCCTCCCTGTGCACCACCATGCCTCCCACATCCATATCCATGTGGTGTTTGTGAATTACCCCCAGTTCCTCTTCCACCATGTCTACCATGCGCCCCTGGATTACCTCCATGCCTTCCACCTCCTTGTGCACCGGTAAGGATAACTTCTAATTCTTAATCTTTTCATATTTAAGATTATATTAAAGATGTTTTATAAAACAAGATGAATAATAGTTCTGAATATTTAATATAAAATTTAATAGAATAATTTATGTGTATTTTTAGACATATTTTTAATGGCATATGTATTATTTTTTACAGTTACCTTGTGGATGTTCTGACCCTTGTAGCTGTTATTGCTGCTAACCACATAAATCTTTTTTCTCTGAGAGAAATCAAATATTTAATTTGTTTATAGTGTGTATAATTTAATTAAAAGTTAAATATAGTTTTAAAGTTTTTATATATAACATGCTGTGTTTTCTAGTTCACCCTCACTCCTCTAAAACAAATTTGAAAGCGTTTAGAAAATTACTTTAAAAAAAATAATAATTAAGTAAATTTCTATTAACTGAAGAAATATCAATCAGATTTTAAAGAAATGACTACAGATTAAATTTCTTATAAGAAAAAAAAAATAGAAACAGATTCTTCTGGATAAATTGAAAATAAATTTTAAATATTCAACATATAAACTGCACAAACACTTAATAAGTTATAAAAAATCATAATTCTTGTGATCTCTATTATATATTATATTATTATATCAGCTACTTAATAAAGCATAGCATCTCACGAATTTCTCAAAATTGTATTATATCTTTGTTTATTGGGGGCAGTATGAATACTGTTATGAAGAGTTAAGGTATTAAACAGATTTATTGTTTTTTATAGATTTATGAAAGAAATTCAAGATTTTTTTAATGCTTCAACAGCAAATTTTATTGTCTCCAGAAGTTCAGAATATCAAAAGTTCAAGAGAATAATTAAGTATTTATCACTATTTCCGCAGTTTATTTACTGATTTTAAAAATGATTTCCCGTAACTATACAGATAGTGATGAAGAAACGTTTTTAAGAATCAAAGAATTTATATTATATAAATTCCATATTCAAGGTTTTTATATAGTAGGGATGTTACAGCAACTTTTTCGTCAAAATCGGCTAACCGGAAGTGGCACTTTATATGATGGACTAAACGCATTTTTAAAATTTTCTCGAAAACGGCTCTAACGATTTTGGTTAAATTCATTATATCGTGTAAAATTAAGCAGTTTTAAATAGAATATCGTTTTTATTCTGATTTATGTTCTCTAACAGGGCTTAAATGGCTAATTTTCAATATTAGCTACCTCTAATGTACCTTTATTTTTTTTTATTTGAAACAATTGACCATTTCACATTAATCTCTAATATAAAAAATAGTTAAATATAAAATATTAAAGAATTTTATTATTAACTAAAGGAGAAATAAAAGATCGTAACGGAGAATAGTTGTAATTGAGGAACCAAAAGAATACGAGCGCACCCGAGCTCGCCCGAAAGATTAGAACACTCTTCCATAAGCAACATAAGCTTAATATAATACGGACTTTGACAATATTATATAAATATACATATGCGGTTTTCGTAAATGCTATTATTTAATATTAAATTGTATTGGTTTCAGCGATATAAATATTAAAATTTGTATATATAAGGGTACTTATACAAATAAAAATACCCACAATAAAATATAAATAAATATAGCGTCTATAATTTTTACTTTCACTTCCCTTTTGTTTGAAAATACTTATTTCTTCTAAGAGGGTGGTAAGTGAAAGTTGTATGATGCGCGCACCTCACCTAATTTTTTTATTCCTAAGAAGAAACGGGCACTTCCTCTCAGTCCATGCCCCAAGGAATTACCCCACTTGCCAGTCTCTAAAGCACTGAAAATATGTTCAGATTTGGCTTTGATTGATAAAAATTATTTCTCTTTTTCCCTTCTCAGGGAACTTAGGAGTTTCCCTAACAAGAGATTTTTTTCACCAAAGTGGAAAAAGTGAAAGTGGAAAGTGGAAACCCTGATAGTCGATTACTTGATTAATGATTACCGAAAATTCGCGTTTGGCCAGACGAGAGTTTAAAACTGATTACCGTTACATTATGTTATGAGTCATATTAATTCTGTACTAAAGATTTAAAAAAATAGTTCGTGTACATTTTAGTGGGAAGGAAATGAAGGAATTTTAGGGGAAATCTGGTTTAAAAGAAGGGAAATTTCAAAACTAGGATGGAAACGCTGATGAATATCAAAATGCAGCGCCGGGCCTTAGACATTCGGCGCTTCTATGTAATGACGTCACCTCCCTCTCTCCCTAAAAAAATAAATTTATTTCTTAAGCTGTGTTATAGTATACAATATTTGAATTTTATTTCACTCAACATTTCTCTAATACAGTTGCTTTATTGATAGCTTAAAATTAATTATTTTAGTTAGCTTTGTATTTTTTTTTAATTTCTGACAAGTGGGGAGCGCCCCTGAAGATTTGGCAGGCGCACCCGCCTGGCGGCCCTCTAGATGGCGCCCCAGAGTAATTTTTAATTATTAGTCACAACAGTAATATTTGATATTATCGGACACACTCCGCTATTTTCACTACTCTATTTACAAGTTTGATCAAAATTATCTTGGCCATGGTGCAGTCCTGAAAGATTTCTGGTAAATAATAACCAAAGCTGTTTAACATATATAATTATTTTATTAAGAAATATCCTCACAATCTTTACACAGAAATTATTTTATTTTACTCTTAACTGAAATGTAGAACCATCCACAATTCACAATTGGCTGTTCTTATGTATACAGAGAACAGTATTAGGTTCCAGGTTTCATTCGATTAAATGTGTATTGGAACAAATTTTTATCATAATCAGGATCAGAAAGTGTTCACTTCCTGGTTGTACTCAACTTACATTCACTGCCTTGACACCATAGAAGTAGAGTGATGATTATGCACAGTATCCAACACTATCCAACAACAATATCCAGCACTAAAAAGCAGTCATCTGATCTGATGTGATTTGAGTCATAAATTCTTTTATTCAGATCTTCTTGTGTATTCTCTTGTCCTTTAAACAGTAGTTCTTGAAATAGTTAATGCTTAGCTTCTTCCAACTTTCATCAATATATTAATACTACACAGGTAACCCACCATTTTAAAAATTAATTAATGATATCCACTGTCTATGCGACCTAATGTTATATTACTCAATAAAATAAAATAAAAACTGAATTAGTCAAATAAGGAAAATCATAATGTATTAAAGATTAATACTACAACTAACAGAAAAAGCACTAATTTTATAATAGACCCAATAATAATGCATCTATAAAAATATTGAAATTTTGTAAAGATAGCTGGAAGAGGTCTTGACTCATTGAGGGATTCTCGAGATGCTGAGAGTTTCAAAACTATGTTGTACACCAAATGTGTAAATGATAGATTATAGTGGAGTGTATATTGATGCGATATGCTAAAGGCAATCTATTGGTAGAAAGTTCTGAATCCTGGCAGAATTAAATTAAAATAAAGCTTGCTAGGTATAATTCCAAATCGGATGTTAAAGCTTTTCAATTTTTATGTCATTGACTGTTCCTTAATAAAAAAAGAAGTAATATTGTAAAAAAAGTGCTGGTTTATTATATTTGTGATTTACATTAATTTTACTTACATCTTTCACTCAAAGCTTTTTAATAAATTAAAACATAATAATTTATATATTCAGTAGCAAGAAGCTATAAAATTAGTTACACCATGGCAAATTGTTTCGGTAATAAATTGGAAAAAAGGAAAATGATCTACAAGGGTAGGTACTGAACTGAGTTATTTTCGCATTCCCTGCTTCTTGTTCTCTTGCTATCTCTCCTGCTTCTTGTAACTGACTTATTAACGATATGATCCATCTCAAAACTCTGATTAGTGTGTCCCTCGATACTATACATTTATCATTTTGTGGAGGAATTCTTGGGTCACTCTGGAAAAGAATAAAATATTTTAAAAATTATTTTCTTAAGAATATTTACCCATAAGTTAACAAAAAAAAAAAAATCAATATTTTAAATATGTTACGTTACTAAGTTTAGTGAACTTGTTAATTAGTTTATTACACAGGACACCATATAGGAACAAGTTTTGTATAAATTTAAACTAAACTAGGAAAGGAAAAAAAAGCGAAATAAGCTAGATAAAGGTGGGAGATTGCAGAAGGGACAATCCACAATGTACAGAACTCCTGAAGGTATGAACTTCAAGAACAACCTTGGTCCCATTGAAAATGTCTAAATGTCAGAGGTGTTTTATTTATTATGCTACCTTCCACAAAACCATCTGTTGCCGCAAGGCAAGGTAAGGTGTAAATAAATAAATAAACATTCTAAAAATAAACACCCATATGGGAACAATGCAATAATATACTGCAAACCGTAAAACACATACTGGAAAAATTTCCCTAATTTGAAAAACACAGGAAAAAAAATTGGCCTAGGAAAAATATGAAAAGAAATACTACAAGATAACAAAGAGCAAGTCTCTACTCTGTTTAAATTTTTAAAACTTACAAAATACTAAATCAGAATATAAATTATAGTAAATCAGCAAAGACCCTTTATGGTACAGACGAGAAAGAAGAAAAATAAAAGACTAGTTTTTTTATTTGGAATACTGGAAAATAATAATCAACTTGTGATGTAGAATCAATTTTGTGGACAACAGGAAAGGAATATCTAATATTCATTACTGATCACAACCCAATTTATTATTTTTTTTTTTTTTAACACTAGGTATTGACCCAAGCAGATCATAAGTTGCTAGTCAAATTTATCAACTTTTGTGCTTTATAAAAAGCTTTGTGTGGCTTTTCTTATAGTAATTATTTTAATTATCATTTCACCTAATCATATTTGCTGGTTATTGTTTAGGTATAGATTATCAATACATATCTTTATAATGACATTAAGGATTGAAATATAATAAAACCTCTAGCTAAAAGTTACTAATAAACTGGAATTAGAAAAAAAGCATATTCTGTGATTAGTAATGAAATATATATATTTTTTATTATGCTCCAGTATCTTGACTGTGGGAAGATAGCATAATCATTTGTCTTTTATAATTGAAGGCTTGAATGACAGGTTGGATGATGCAATTTATTTCTTTGTATTAAGAATTGAATTGAATTTTTAGTTAAAAAGCTTAAGTTTATAAATGGGGCGAGACCCTATAGAAGGCCCTATAGAATTTTATTTTATAATATTTATTTGTTGAGGTGTTTTGCTACAAGTAAAAGCAAAAACTTGTTTCATTTGATTTTAAAAAAATATGTATACATATTCAAAACGCTCACTCAAAGATTTATTTGAAATATTAGTTGCATTGGAATATTGAAAAGAATCGAGGTTAGCATAATAGATTATGAGCAAAGCTTGCATGATTTGCGGGATTGCCTATTCAAGGAAATATTTGGTACAGTTATCAATTCAGTTTATTTCTGCAGGATGTTAGAGATGCTATAGGAGGGTGATATGGTTTAATTTGTACCATAAAAATGTTTCAGTGAGGCACATTTTACTGCAATATAAATTTTGGAGGAGAGCACATTTTTAAAGGGTTGTAATTTTAAATAATAAATCATATTTATTGGCAATTTAAATTTGGGACGATTTTCAAACCAGGAAAAATGGAACACTAACTACAATTTTTATATTAATATTTTCACTTGCATTGTTTTTAAGAAGAGGAAAGCAATAAAATATCTTAGGAGGGATGCATGTGTCATCATCCAAGGGGAGAGAGTAATCATTTACACAATATTATACTTAATATGCTGTTGTATTCTGATCAACATAAGAGGGCACCCAAGATTATTTTTCTATTTCAATTTCCGATGCATTTTTATGCAATTCTGATATTCTTGGTTTGAATGCTTATTTTTTTATTATTAATAAAGAAAAACTGATTTTACATCACCTCCAATCAGTATCATTCTCAAGTGATGAATAATAAGTAGAAATCAGAATATATTTTTTTATTTTATATTCATTCATCTTAAGAAGATGAGTCTAGATTTTCAGATATTACTGTTCTGAAACTTATCTAGACAGGGTATTTTAATAATCTAAATAATATGATCTTAGATTTCTGACAAAAGTAATTTAAAAAGCACATAAAGTTTCCTATTTGTTTCAAAATTGTTCAAAACATTTTTCCATGTTCTCAAGTTTCCGAAAATTTCTCTCCATCCATTTTCATTCAATATTATGTTTTCAAAACTGTTCTATCTCTTATTTTTTAGTTTCTTCTTTAAATTAAAACAATGATAAATCAATTTTTATGTCAAGAGAAGAGAGATGCTATTATAAACAAAAGCCAATAAAAATAAATGTTTATGATCATAATTGAAACTCTTTTTTTTTTTTTTTACCATTTTATTCCAAACAACAATTGTAATTAATTAAATGATATGAACAGAATAAATATAGCACAAAGGTAGTAATGATATAGTAAGTATAATTCCAATTGAGTCCAGTTGTGATGGTGAAATGCAAATTGGTTGTTATACTCCTTGTCTAATATTTATGTTTGAAAGATTTTTTAAAAATTATTGTGACAAAGTTTTTAAAATAGATAAAAAATGAATGACAAGGTGTAATAAACAAATATTTTCAGTGGTATTAGAGATAAATATAATAAAACCATTAGACTATTAAATTATTGCGGCCAGGACAATTTATTTTAAGTTTAAAATAGGTTTCTCCCCTTGAAAATGGCCTAAGCGCTGAAATATTGGATGTAGAGAAAAAGTCAAGTAGGACTATTATGATCTTATGGGTATTTTTTATTATTACAAATAAAGTGAGGTTCTAACCAACAAGATTGAAATATTCATATATTAATAAAATCATAAGATAAATAAACAATAAATTGTTATAATAGAAGATTTACCTATGATTATTGAAATAACTCAAATTTCTTCCTGCATGAAACAAATATGGAACAAGGAATTATAAAACAACAATATCATAAATGATGTTAAGTGAAATTTTTAGGGATTTTTCATTATTAACATGCTAGTAATAGAATTTATTTGCCAGTTTCTTCATCACTATAGTTTTCTGACCAATACAAAGTGAGATGAAATACTTTTAAAAAGTGTAATAGTGTTAAAAATTATTGATTGAAAAAATTAATACCGGACAGAATGATACATAAAAGAACAACTTAAACATTGTTAACTTAAAAGCCAAAATGAAATAAATTTCCTTGATATAATAAAGATTATTAGGCTGTTAGTCAATAAGGCCATCTCGATGAGATTAATTTCCACTCCAGTCAGTGTGAATGCGTTCTGTGAGTTGATATATGAAGAGCAAAGTTCCACATTGCTCAAAAAATGCTAGAGCTCAACAAAAAATATTCTCCAAAAAAATAAAGGAAATTATTGGTTCACTTAATGTTCAAAAAGCATTGAAAATACAGGGATATGTGGCAATGATAAATGTCAAAATGCCAAAATATACAGACAACTACGGTTGCAATTTTATCAGGAATACAAAAATTGGACAATTTATGATTGGCAGTGAGTTGTGTAGTCATATAAAATGAAAATAAATCTCATTGGATCAGTTAAATGACAGGTGGTATGGGAAAACTTGGAGCACTTCTCATTCACAGGGAAGTTCAACTGAACCTAAAATTAAATATTGGCAGTCTCACGATCTGAGGGGGCATATAGACCAAAATGTGGTATGGATTATCCGAATAGATGGGAAAATGAACACTGAGGATTATCTAAGAATTTTACAGTCTTCTCTACTGTCCAGTATTAGAAGTTTCGATGGTTTCAATTCAAAGAACAAGTAGTTCTTTTAACTGGATTTGATTTTTTAACAATGGGAAACATAAAGTGAAAAAATCAATGAGTTTGCTGAATAATCATTCAATTAGTTTTTTTGATTGGCCACCTTAGTCTCCTGATATAAACATTATTGAACATGTTTGATTTTATGTTTAAAAAATTAAAATTTTGAAATAAAAAATAAATTAAAAAATTTGGTCCAGTAAGAATATTCTCTGAAATTAATGGAAGAGTTGTGTGAATGGATCAAATTGATTTAGAACAATGTCCCTTCTTTGTTTTTTGACAACCTTGTCTAAAATGTTTCAAACAAAATTCAGGCCATAATTAGAGTACAAGCATTATAATTTGTTTAATTCAGTCAACAAGTATGTTGCCATCAGGTATTTTTTAAATGTCTATCTGTAATCATATGTAAGACTCAATAAAATTTCTTTGTTAAAAAATTTTGGTTAAGTACATTTTTTTTTTACTGCACCTTAGTTTTATGAACACGAGCCATTTGCAATGGTTTTATGAGTCATGGTATTAATATGCACCTTACCAAATGATTATGAAACATTTGCCAATAATCCTGTTATTATAAAATACTACAAATAGTTTTAAAATACTTACATTGAGGCAATGATTATTTAAGTAGTCTGTTCTTGATTGACATGATAATGCACTTGCCTGAAAAAAAAAGATTTGCACTAATTAAATGATTAAATTAATTTTTTAAGTTCAAGTTTTTTTGGGGTATTGACATATTACAATTTTTAAAAGTTCATTCATAATATTAAAGAGATAGTTATTGAATACTATCTTACTATTTCGAAACATTTATTCAAAATTAACTGAAGTATCATAAATTCTTGAAGAATATACTCTCTTATTCAACTTTCTGATAATTCCATTTGTTTGTATCATAAGTTTTTAAAAAAACCTTAATTTTATTAGTACTGTAATACATAATCTTAAATTGGTTAATTTAGAGTAATATTTAATTATTAGTTCATCAATTATATAATCCATTTATTTTTTTTATTAGTACATAACATTTAAGGTTTTTAAAAATAAAGTATTGCTTAGAATATTCGGACTGAAGAAGGATGAATTATCCGGGGAGTTCAGACAGTTACACAACGCGGAATTGTGTGAACTATATCCGGGTAATATAATTGAGGTGATTTCATCCTGACGAATCAAATGGGCCTGTAAAATTGTTGGGCTTAGTAACGGGAGAATTCCTAAAAGGTTAATATTTGCTCTACCGAATGTTAAAAGTCCGGTAAGAGGGGTAGACCAAAGTGAAGGTGGGAAGATTGCATTAAAGCCGATCTGAAGGGACTAGGTTTGGATGGCGAACGTTGGAAGGAGGTGTATAATAAGTGATTGGTGGTGTCAGCATCGAATCCGAAGGTTCGCTAAACCTTTTATTATTATTATTATTATTTTGTAACATTTAGGTAAGTTATGAATTATTCTATTTAATTATATAGTATATATTTACATTAAAAAGAACATAAACATACCATTTATTAATTCAATAATGTTTGATCACTAAATTAAAAGTTGTCAAAAATTTGCCTTTATATTATAATATTTTAATTATCTGTAGTGCTAATATTTTTAAACATCTATGTGACGGAACATTCAAAATTTTTATAATATAATCAAAATTGAGTTTAATTGTGAAGATTTTTTTATTTTTATTTTATTTTATTTTTCCACCCTCCCATGCCACCAGGGCAATACGGGTGTAAGCAGTAGTGTGATGTTATCCATTAATGCATAATAACACACTACTGTCATAATATCAGTTAACATAATTCAAAGCTGTGCACACAGCTAGCTCTTCCACTTTTCCTCTTACACCAAATTAGGCCTGGCTTCCCGAATCCGGAGGTCTTCCTGAGACTGATCCTCTTCTCGTTCTGCGGGCACCTAGGTTGAAGTGAGCTGGGCCCACCGCCGTCTTCCAGCCATTTATGAACTCTTGGAACCGCGGGAAGTTTTCCTCACCCACCAACTGAGGAAACTCCTCCTCAGTGAGGACGTAAATTCCCGTGGTTCTCATTAACCTGGCTCTTAATCCGTCGTAAACAGTGCAGGCTGTGACCACGTGCTCAACAGTCTCGGGAACACCACAAGCGGGGCAGTGGGGATCTATATCATGTCCAAGGCTATGAAGTTTAGCTCTGAAACCCCCATGCCCCGTGAGAAATTGTGAAACCCAATAGTCCGGGAGGACCCATTTCGCCTGTAACCGAGATTCAATGGTGGGGAAGTATTTTCTTAAGGTACTGCCTTTCGGAGTCGTCACCCATCGTATGCTCCAATCTTCAATTGTTTCCTCCCGGATAATCGTTTTCCATTTATTTGGGTTTTCAATAATTCTCATTCGTAGGTTATCCGACAGGCTTGTTGAGCCCTCCCTTTTGTAATCGTACCTGGTCACTTCTTCTCGCAGGAGGAGGTCGAGAGGCACCACCCCCGCTAAGACCTGCACTGCTTCATGCGACGTAGACCTATATGCTCTGGTGACCCGAAGCAGAGCAGTCCTCTGAGTCAATGCCAGCTTATTTCTTTGTCTGAGTGTGAGGTTTTGGAACCAGAAGGGAGACGCATACCTCAGGATACCCTCCACAACACCCTTATAAATAGTGATAGTGGCTGGATACCTCAGGCCCCAAAATGCGCTCCCCACACGACTTAGACAGTTCATTGCTAGGGCCACCCTACCTGCCAGATATTTCAAATGAGGCGTCATATTCAGGCCTATACCTAACCTAACCCCTAGGTAGGTCACCACCTCACTTGGACGTATCCTCTGGCCTTCTATGTACATCGTTATAGGGTGTGCCCTATCAGTCTTTCCCTTAAGGAGGATGGCTTGAGTCTTGGCAGCGGCCATCCTCATCTTCTTCCCCTCACACCATCTAGCGACTAAGCCGACGCATCACTCTGCTTCTCTCTTGACTCCAGCTCTGCTGTTGGAGGCCACCACAGCAGCTAGGTCGTCAACGTAAGCAGTGGCAGGGAACCGCTCTTCCTCTAACACTCCCAGTAACTCATCAAAGACGAGCTTCCATAGAGCAGGACCAAGCACCGATCCCTGGGGGCAACCTCTCTCTATGGAAGCTTCTACCTCGTAGTAATTGCCTCTGATCTTCACATTTCTGTCCTCGAGGTAACTTCGTACTAGTGTGTATAAGTTACTGGGAGCATCGTACCTCTGCAGCTGCTGGAGAACGCTAGGCCACCATACGCTGTCGAAGGCAGAGGATATGTCGAAAAGGAGCAACATGACATACCGCTCCGCCCTCTCCTCAACATCTCTGCGCACTCTCAGCAGGGCATCAGCGGTTCCTCTGCCTCTGGTTGATCCATATTGCCGTGGATGACTTGCTCTAGCGAAAACAGGTCGTAAACTAGTCATCATGAGGTTCTCCAGGACCTTGCTAATCACAGGGAGGAGACATATAGGTCTATATGAATTAGGGAGTTGTTTGTCCCTATCCCCTCCCTTGTAGAGTAGTCTCAAATCAGCGATCTTCCATCTTTTTGGAAAGTATCCCAAATTCAAACATTCATTGAAAATTCTCAACAGACGGTCTTCAATATACATGATACTGTTCTTCAAGATCGCAGCATCTATTGCATCAAGTCCTGGAGCACGATTAGTTTTCTGCTTATCCACGGCAATACGGAGATCGTGAATGTCTCATGGTGGGCACAAATCTGAACCAGTTGGATATACCGTGGTGCGTCTCACAAAATCATCATTTTCGCTGTCCTGGGTTGTATCATCTCTGGGGTATATTGCTTCAATGAAAACATTGGCAGTTTCTTCAAGGGTGGTTGCCTGAGTGTTATTATACCGCAAGGCAGTAATTGTCTGCAGCGGGGATAACTTACCCAATGCCACCCTGTAGGGAGTACCCCAGGGATTCTTCAAAGACTCTTCGACGATGAAATCGTCCCAAGACTTCCGCTTTTGTGAGCGAACCGCGTTTTGGTATATCCTAGCTTTTGACTTGTACTCATTGCGAAGTACAGTGCGCCTCTCGTCGCATCTGCACTTCTGATATGACCGCCGGGCCTTGTAGAGGTCTCTTTTTAGAGCTGTTAAAGCTGGCGTCCACCATGGGATTGTGAAGATAAATAACGGATCTATTTTAGTCTTAAAGTGAATAAAATTTGTTGGAGTATACTGGTAATTTAAATCATTTTTAAGAAAGAATCTTAGTTAGTAGTCATTCCACGGCTTCCTAACTTAACCTTCATAACTACCTAAATTTGTGCTACATAGCACATCACTGCCCTACTAACGGAATTAAATACTTGCAACTTTTTGGATAGAGCTATGTCTTTGTTTTCCATCAACTGGCGCCAAATCAAATTCAAACCCACCTTGGCTTTCTCCAGTTTTTCTGCCAGATGTTTGGACATTGAGAGAGTAGGCGTGAGAACTATTCCTAAGTATTTGTACTGTTGAACTACGTCTATACTTTTGTAGCCCATGAACCATTTTTCTTTACATGATGGCTTACCGCCATTGTGAAAGACCATTATTTTAGATTTTTCGAGATTTATTCTCAGATTCCGTTTTTTTACAGTATTGTCTAGTAAATTTATATTACTCTGTAATGTCACTGGGTGTGAAGATAGAAGAACAATATTATTATATATAAAGAAAATAGAATCGGACTAAGCAAAAACCTTGTCTTACACTCGATTCCATACTAAATGGTTTCGTCAAACCATCCAAACCCCAAACTGAAGCATTAGTATCGCTAAGCAAACTTTTAATTGAATTAATTAATTTAGATGAAAATCCTAGCTGATAAATTAGACTATAATGATCCACACTATCAAATGCAGTAGAAAAATCTACAACATAAACTTTTCCCTTTTCTTTTGTAATTTTAATTTAATTAGACTCGTTAATATGAATTTATTATGGATTGTTGAAAAAATTTTTCTAAAACCAGCCTGAGCTTCTTTAATTACATTGTTTTCATCAATCCAGTCCAGACATCTATCCAAAATCAAGCCCATATGTAACTTGGCATTTTTGAAGGAGATTCCTCTGTAATTAGAAAAGTAATTGATGGTTTCCTTTATCCACCTTATCTATTGTCTGGCATCACATTAGTCTTAAGCGGGCACTTTCAGCATCGTGTGACCGTGTTGGGAATGGCGCATCACGAATGTGAAGGGACAAATGTTCGTGCATTGGCCTAGTTACACAATGCCTTTTCTGGTTACACAATGCCCTAAACATTCAGGACATGTAATTCATTTCATGGCCCAATGACGAACATTCGCACTCACACCATGTCCCACAAATTACAATTTATATAATCAGAATATCAGATAAATTATCTTCCTTGAATTGTGCTTTTGAACTATATAAGCTTGGTGTAAAAAATGTAATAGAAGTGAAACAAAATTTCAATTGAAATAAAAATGAATCAAACAAAAAAAAAATTCAAATTAGACATCACTTAAATGAGGATATAATTTTTGATGTACTGATTGGAAATAAACATAAACGGTAATACTATTATGCCCAATAATTTTAAAAATTCAAATTTATTGGGACTGATTAGGAACATACACATGATTACAGCCATAGTAGGAAGATTATCTGTTGAACTAAGTGGATACTATTTAAAAAAAAAAAAAAAAACTGGTTGCTGAACAAATTAAAATACTGTATCAAAAATCAATAATATAACCACTAGGTTAATTGAAGATTTATATATTAAAATTAAAAAAAAATAATATACAGAGTTATTAAATTTACAATCTGAAAGTATTTATAATACAATTTAATTTACAACTAAATCACCCTCAAACAAGATTATAAAATATTTGGATAAGAACATCAATTTCGACTATTTTGATTTGAAATAACTAAAATATCAAATAATAAATACATTTAATGTCTTGATTAGTAATGATTTTAAAGAATAAAACGATAAATGTTACATATTTTTTTTATTTCTTTAATGAAATTTACAACTGTATTAAAAATACTCTCGGCTAAATCAGCAGCATAATGTAATATATTAAAATTAAATTTAATATAAAATAATAAATCAAAATGTTATATCATAAATTTTGAATTTGCATCAACTTTTGTTTGTTAACAAAATAAATTAGAATACTGTAATAGAACGACAAAAAAAAAAAAAAGTGGTGTTGGCCATACCTAATAACCAGCGCATCCATCATGTTTTTTTAATTTTCCCATTTGGTCAGTCAGATACTCCCCTTTTCCCTCCTCAAAATGAAAAATAAAAAAATCACTTCCGCCCAAATATGTAAAAAACAATACATAATATTATATATAACTACTCGTTATATGTCAGTTTTACTTATATTATTAACAAAAAGATTAAACTAATAATAATAATTGATATTATTATTATTAATTGTAATAATAATAATTGGCTTTGATTGCTAAAATTATATCCCTTTTTTCCCATCCTAAAAGAAATAAATAATAAAAATGTGTTATAAAATTGAATGTTGCATAATACATACATTTTACATTGTCGAAACATTATTTAACTAAAAAAAAAAAAAAAAAGAGTAATAATAATAAACAGGGTTTGGAATACATAATTAAGAAAAAAAATTTAAAAAATCAAATCTGATCAAAATTTTTATCTGAAGTTTTTAAAAATCATTTGATGATTTTTATTATGAGCGATTTTTATTTTTAATCATGAGTGATAAAAATCATATCCTGACTATTATTTTTTAATTAGCATCAGAACATCTTTTTTTCTAAAATTCATTCAAAATTTTGGCTAACGAAACAAAAAAAGTATATATTTATATAGTGCAGATACCGCGTGCACATTTAAAGCTATTATAGAAATGTAATATTAAAAAATGTGTACATTAATAACGAATACATTCATATCAATATATTAATTTGTATGTAAAGGGTGATTTTTATTTTCTGGTCAAAACAAATTTTTTTTATCACAATTTAATTATTTATTATTTATGCAAAACGGTATCATTATTTTTAATCAAATCAATAAATTACAATGATTCAGTTAAATTTTTACTTATAAATCAGGCACGATTTTTAAATTAAAAATCAAATATAATAATTATTACATGATTTTGTGGAAAAAATAATTATCGATTTCAAACCCTGATAATAAAGTATGCATAACAATTATTAATTATTGGTCAAAATATTGACAAACTAAGTCCCTATTTACTTATAGTAATAATTTGTAGTTTTTTTTTTGTTGGGTCCTCCCCTTCCTCGCCTTTAAGGCTATACGGGGTTTTCCCAGGCCAGGGGGTGTGGGCGGGGATTTAAAAGACTCTTCCGGCGCCGGGATGCGAACTCGTGACTATTTTTTTATCACTTATCTTCTATCAGGTTGCTGGGCAACGGTGGTGCTGTGCACACGCGTTAGCCCATTCGGCCCTCCTGTCCACAATAATTTGTAGTTTAATTTTAATAAAATTTTAATTTTCATTGAAATCTGTGACGTCTATATAAATAAAAATCCAACATACGTCTCACATTGCACGAACCATTCACATCACACTGGCGGAATCATTGGAGGTTTTGCTGTGAATATTGGTGTGAACATTTGCCTAAACATTTAGGGCCTCATGTGACAACACCTTTAGCAATGCTGGTTAATTATAATATTAAAATAAATCTAAGGGATGATGGTTGATATAAAAAAAAAATTTAACTAAGAATTTTATGGTGTTTAATGTGTGCTAACATTTTGACCTGCTTTATTGTCCTTTTTCAGAGAAACAACTGTAGAATGAGATAAGGTCAACTTGTCAAAAAGATGTTGGAGATATCCTAACATCAAAACATATTAAACAATAAAACATTATTTACTGTTTTTTTTAGGAGGGGATAGGCTACATTTATCAATATCTTTTAAGATGGTCACTGAGGATCACTCCAGTGCTTGGAGTGAAAATCATTTCACATCATTTCTACTGATGATTACTTTATACCATTTTTTTACTTTTCATCTTTTTACTTCATATAGGTAGAAAGGATCCTAGTTCCTATATATCATTTTTAAACTATTTTGAATTCATGATTACTTTAAGCACTAACAAGAAACATCACCTCTGAATATTATCAAAATTATATTAAAATCTACCTACAAAAAGTCCTAACAGGTAATTCTTTTACATATTTTATGCTATCAATATTGTAAATTTTTACAATATTATATTTACTGGATTCATGATCGACTTTTGGACTAATGGAATTCCAGTCACTCTGTATTATTCCGAAAATTCCATACTAATTGTGATTGCTCATTATACTTAATATGCAGCAGTTGGAATGGAATGATTGTCAGTAGCTGCTTTTAGATTTAATCCAGGGTCACCAACATCTATATAATTATGACTAAAATCTTCAAACTACCCTTCTCAAATATTAGAATCATTGGGGTTTCTCTTAAAGTCTACCTAACCATAACATATTGTTGATAAATATGAACCATGCTCACATGCTTTTTGATGATTTAATTCAGGTCAGAAAACAATAACTTTATATTTATTTAAATAATAATAACTTAAGAATGAATATATATTTTTAAATTAATCAAATAATAGCTGTTAGAATTGGTACTCACTAAACTGAATAACACAACCATTGATGCCAGGAAGAGAGCCATTGTGAACACTAACTTTTTTCGAAATGACACTCAGTGTATCTACTCTGTTTTCTTTTAAATCACGGTTATGACTATATAAATAATAGGAAATTTAGAACAACAGTCTGATAACTTTGTTTCTATATTCAACTTCCTTCTTCTCAAGATGAACGGTTGAATGGAAACTTTTGGTTTGTCAATGCTCCATTGTTCAATGTTATCATGTTTTAATATAAAAATCATATCATTGTAGATTAATTTTAGTTTGACTAAATATAAATAAATTTATAATATATAATATAATTATATAATAAATTTATAATTTTTGAATATTTATATACATGTATAATACATATATAATATATATATATTGTATAAAGATGTATAATACATAAATATTTGAACTTTTTTTTTTTGGTTGACACTAGAGACCATGAAGATCGTTGGCAGTGAGATGTGGTCTCCCTACAAACATATATTGTTTGCAGGGGCACAGAGGGCTCACCCAACTTCGTTACTCCGTTACTATGAACCATGGTATCCATGGTGCAGCGGTAGGCAACCTGCAGCTCCATAGCTGACCCCTTTGGGACCAATCTGACAGTGTCCTTCCCACCAACTCACTCAGGCTTAAGGACAGTGACAGATCAGTCTAGATTCATGGATTATGGCTGTTCAGAGTCAGTAGGCACACGAGGACCTATATTTCTTTCCCCGAAACAGACTTTCCATGGACCAAACCTCAGGAAGGCTACTGACATCCTAGTAGACCACATCCTGATTCCTGATTTAAGTACATGGGATAGGGTTTTCAGTCCTACGCCCGGTTGGTGTGAGTTGCCTCTAGTAGGCTGACAGGTCTCACATATTGGGAGGGGGAGAGGAATCTCTGGCAGCGTGGCTTCCCTTGGTGGATGGTCACCAAATCGGGCAGTAAACATCCAATACTAACCTCGCTCAATGATGCTTAACTTTGATTAGATATTGCAAACGGCTTAGTTCACACGGTTTCCCCAGCCTCCCCCATCTCCCCAAGTATTTAAATATATATATATTTAAATATTTATATTCATATATATTTATATATAGACATATATTTATTACAATTTACAAATTTCTTAAATTTGATGTACAATGACAAATATAAAGTTAATTGATTGAGGAAACAAAAGGGTTCATAATTATTATTTTAATTAATATTATTTTAATTAATTATTATTGAAGGGTGGAGAGCACTTCCTTATAATCCATGATAATTTTTTGTGAGGTACTTTTTTATTCCGTTAGAGTCTCCAAAGCAATCATATATTTATTACAACCCACATTAAATCCTTGTGGTTTGATCTAGTAGCCTCTTCAGATTTAATTATGACCCCCTTAAAGATTGCTTCATACTGGGTTTTGAAGTCTAGAATGTTTCCATACTTTTTATTTACCAGAATTTTTCAATCAAAGAAATCCTTCTTTTCAGTTTAAACTATAAGATATGCTTCAGTATAACGCTGAGCTACGTAGCATTGTTTCTAAGCCTCTCCTTCCTATGACATCAGCTGCCTCATTTCTTTTGCTTCCAAAAGACCATATCTATAAGGACAAGTTTATTTCTCCTTTCTATTTCTTTTTCTTTTTTTTTTTTATGTATGTATTGGAATTTGAGTCCTTCAATCCTGCTTAGATGTCTAAAATTATAAATATTATTTTTTTCCTTCAGAAATCTCCACTCAGCTTGGACGTAAATCATCTCAGCTTCAATTCCCAACACTTCTTTCTTTTCCACATTAATGATTTCCACTCTGATATCCTAAAATCCTTAATTAAGGATTCTGTACTAAGAAGATTCCTGTAGAATCAATAAAACCTTTTCTTCTGAAACAATCCTGTCCTCTCCCATCTTTATATGTTTTCCTCATCACCTCATTTCTCCTTCTTGCCCGAAGGCTTCCTTTATCTGCCTATTTGATATAGTTTCAAATCCTTTCCAGAACTTGTTCCAACCAAATGCTATTCTTCTCTGGACTTCTTTTGTAACTCTGTCTGAAAAGGAAACTAACTGTCCCAAGTAAACATATTCCTCTACGTATTCCAGGGTGAAGTTGTTCATTTTTATTTCTTCCTTTGGTTACTAGTTTCATCTTATTGTGGTTTGGGTATAGACCAATTTCTTTACAGGCCCCTAGAAGTTGTTTTAGCATTTCTCGTAATTGTTGGTAAAAAGTACAATGTCATCTGAAAAACATAAGTTGCTCAAAAATCGACCATTCGCCTTTCTGCCAACATTTTCCTATCCCAGGACCTCTCACGTGGAGAGCAGCTAGGGACAGAGATATGTGGAAAGAAAAATGGTTAAATGTCAGAAATCCCGCTTCCCAGTAGGGCTAGTCACCCAGGGAAGTGTTAAAGACTATTATTCCTAAGGGAAGGCCTATGCAAGAATTATAAAAACTTTTGTATAAATTATAATAATGTAAAAAAATTGTTTTATTTTCTTTTGTAATTGTATGTTTTCATTGAAATTGTAATATTTATGCATAAATAAAGGCTATTTTCATTCATTCATTCATTCATTCAAATCCTTTCCACACTGATTCATCTTCTAAATCTTTTTAGCTCCCTTCAAAACTGCTAAAATATGTTGCTAAATCTCAGCTTACAAACTTCCTTGAAGAAAGTTCTTCCTCTCGCCTCTCCTGAAAATATCACACGACTTCTAGACTTGGGGTTTCTGATTTAGGTCATATGTAGTCCACTAGCAATTGTTTAGCAATCTCCAAAAGTTTGTTGAGGAAGTTTATTAGACTCTTTTCATTGGCTTGAAACTTAAAATTAAGTTAGTTAAAGAGTTTTTGAAAAAATATCTTTAATCAGTTTACATTTTTCAGGTTTTTCCCTGGGTTGTTGTATCAGTTACTCTTTTACTACCAATCATTACTGAACGATCAGTAATTTGCATTTTTAAGTAGTAGTGTTCTTGGGAGAGTATATTTCTAGTCTGGGGGACTAGATCTGCAAGAGAAAAAATCAATCTAGTATTATTGAGCAATGCTTCCCAAATACTAATCAATTCCAGACTCCTCAAGAAATGAATTAAATCATTGGGGCTCCCTGAACATTTGTGTAAATTAAAAGTATACCTCTGACATTTACTTTATCAAGACCAATTACATTGAATATATTTGTATTAAAACTATATCCACTTAAAAGTAGACAAACAAGAGAATAATATTGGAGAAAACTAAAATTTTGAACTTTTTGAAATACAAATTAATTTCATTTTATTAGTTATTAATTAGTACATTGGTTATATATTTATTGAAATAGAGGATTAAAATTATCAAAAACTATCCTTCACCTGGAATATTGTATTTGTTAATTATAATGATAGGAAAGCATCTGTTAATTATAATAATAGGAAAGCATTTGTTAACTATAATGATAGGATAGCATCTGTTAACTATAATGATATAATTATGATAATTGTTAATTTTCATGATACATCAATTGTTTAACAGAGATTTCCTGAAAAATATAAACTATAAATAAGAGTATATATTTATACAAAATTTCTTTAATCGACCTTTGAGTATTATATTTTAAAATAATTATTTAGGGGGGAATACAGCCACTTAATTAAGTGATGTTATTCCCACGTAAATAATTATTTTGATATATATGTATATATTTATATATGTATATAAATTTATAATACATATATATTGTGGGAGGTGACCTAAGAGGGTCAGAACTATTTATCTTATCGATAGTTTTTTAGTTTGTCATCGATTATTTAATGAATAGCAATCTTTTAATTTTATAAATTAAATAAAATTTAAACAAGATATGATAAATATCCCATTGCAACTGCACTAGAAGGTTTTGGAATGAATTACAGCTTGTCCCAAAAATAGTACTATTTTGGGTTTCATAACTCTGGGCTTGATATGTTCTGGAAGATCCTAACTGAGTAGAACCTAAGAGATAATGCCTGTGTCAAATTCTGACTACGAAACAGTAGTCGATCCATGGTTTAATTTTAGGGAGGATTCAGCCCGAAACATTTCTTTTAATACATATATATATATATATATATATATAAAACGATAATTACTAAAAGAAAGAAAGAAACCTAATTACCTATATGAAATGGTGTTTAATTGATTGTTGATGTCCTATTAAAAATGTAATTATATGAACAACTATATTATCAGAGATAATCTTTTAATATTTTTTTCATGAGACATGGTTATATTTAGTAGCTGTAAATTCACTATCATTTAAAAAATAGAACATATCGTGATTGTTTAAGTATTTAGCTTTGATCAATCACTGCAAAAAGTATGGACCAAAAACAAAAAATTTCCATTCTGGGAAGGGAGGCTTCGGCCAGAAAAATATTATGACCCTGTACATTGATTTATTTTTTCATTATTTACATCCCTTATCGCTATAAGGCTTGGAGTTGAATATTACACTTTACACATAGGCTGCAGTTACTGAAGTTCGAATTTCATAAACAATCAACCTCCTATAAATTCCCAATGACAGAAAATCTGAAAATTAAGAACAAGTCTGCCATGTAAGGTCAGCATAGCTTCCTCACCATTTTCATTGGCTACACCATAATTTATATTTGAAGGTCTATAATGTTTAGTTTGGGAATTAAAGCTAGTATCTGTAAGTTTTGATCATCTGCTAATAAAAAAAAATACGGATTGCGTTATTTTACAAAAAAAAAAAAATTAAACAAATCACGAATTTAAACAATTCCTAGTACTGTATTTATATAATTTTTGAACATGCATATGTACTTAAAAGGTATGTCTTCACTCATAATAATGATGGGCAGAAAACATTTGAAATAAAATTATTTTTTGTTTGTTCGTTGTTTACGAAACCGACATTTTCCATTAGTCAAAACAAAACTTATTTTAGAAAAAATATTAGAATATGAGTGAAGTTTATTAATTAAATGAAAAGATGGTATATACATAATTAAAATTTATTGATTCTTTTGTCTAACTCAG